GAGAACTGGTATAGCTTCCAGGAATTTCATTCTAGATTTCAAAGCCAATAGGGATGATTCTTTCAGTGAATATACTAGAATAATAGAGTTCTTATAAGGGAATTACTTGTCCTTGTGGGTAATGAGAGTATGATTGAGAATGGTATCAAGTGATTCTAAATTCTGGATGGAAGTCTCTGCCAAGAACTAGATTATGCCCTTAGTGCTCCCTATAAAGTGAAGTGTGGCCTCTTTGGTTAATCTTTTCCTGCTGGGGATTAGAGCTGGTCTTATGTTAGCTGAGAAGTGGTGGCCTAGGATCAAAGTGGCTTACTAATGCCTGATACATAATCATCTTTATCTATTTTTATAGGGGAATAGAAATGAACCAGTCCCTTGCAATGCTTTTAAAAAAATGAGTTGAACTCAATACTTTCTGCTTAGTCACCTTAGTCTGATATTTCTTGACTATTCAGAAGGAGGAAAAAAAAAATCTTTCATTGAAGATTAGATAGAGTAATGTGGGCTGCCTGACCATATACGTCAATGGTGGATTTGGTACTCAATAAATGACTAGACCCAAACATTCTTTAACAAATCATTGTCAAATAAGAGGAATGGCTCTGCTGATGTGATCTAGGGATCTCTCCTTGGTCTTGCCCATTTAACATTTTCATCAGTAATATGGATGACAGCATAGGTGGTGACTTTGCACAGCCCTCCGTCACTTAAATCCAATTCACTTGGGTGTCATGGTATCACCTCTCTGTTCTTGTGGTCCTCTTTAAGAATGAAGGACAAACAACAACACTATGCTTAGCGAGTTAGCAATGTTGGGAAGGATAAATAATACATAGGATGACAGAGTCAGAATGAAAAAATAATTGGTTGCAGCTATTATTAGGATAAAATTCAATAGGGGTAAATGTGAAAGTTCTCATCTGCATTCAAAAAAATCCACACTGTGGGGCAGCTAGGTGGTGCAGTGGATACAGCACTGGCCCCGGATTCAGGAGGACCTGAGTTCAAATCCGGTCTCAGACACATACTAGCTGTGTGACCCTGGGCAAGTCACTTAACCCCACTGCCTAGCCAAAAAAATAAAAAAATCCACACTGCAAGCACAAGATGGGGACAGGCATAGCTAGACAAAATTTTGAGTTAAAGAGTTTTTTAGTGCACAGAAAACTTAGCATGAATCTAGTGATATATCGTGGCAGCTCTCTCCCTCCCCCAGCAATAAACTTAAATTAATCTTAGTTGTATTTAGATGCGTATTGTCCAAAATGAAGTAGTTTCCTATTTCTGATCTGATAGTGTTTGGAGTATTATATTTGTGTTTTAAGGAACGCATTTTATAAAAAACGATGAAAACCTGTTATGGATTTAAAGGGGTTTGATGAGGATGATGAGGGGCCTGGAAACATTGCTATGCGAAGATTGGTTGAAGAAATAGGAAATATTTATGTGGGAGGAGACAAGGTCTAGTGCAGAATTTCTCAAACTTTTTGGTCACAAGACCTTTGTGTTCTTTAAAATTGTATTTTGATAATATTGATACTTGAAGTTCTAATATAATAAATATTAAATGAAAATAGTTTTGATTTCTCAGCAAGTGGATGGCATAGCGGTAGAGTGCTAAGTCTGGAGTCAGGAAGTCTTGAATTTGAATCCAGCCACAGATATTTACTAGCTGTGTGACTCTGGGAAAGTCAGTGTCTGTCTAAATTCTCTCAACTATAAAATGGGGATAATACTAGCACCTACCTCACAGGGATGTTGTGAGGATCAAATGAGATAATATTTGTGAAGTGCTTAGCACTTAATGGATGCTTGTTCCGTTCCTCCTCTCACCAACAATGGGCTCCTCTGGGAAATAGGTTTCATTCACTGAAGGTCTTCAGGCAGAGGCCAGGTACCTCATTAAGGGTGCAGTAGAATATCCTTGTTCTCTTTTGGGTTGACTAGGAACCTGAGTCCCTTTAAACTCTGAGATTTTCTGATTCCATAATTAGAGGGAAATGGATTAAAATGCAAATGTGTGAGATAGTAAATATCTTCCTGTGAATAAATTTCTATCAGAGTACAAAAGATGAAATCAGATCATTTCCTGGTTTTAGAGGGGAAGTATTTTCTAAAATATTCTGGGCATGGTTTGGAATGGTGGTAGAGAGAAGTAGATTCTACTAAATGAAAAAACAAAAATAATTATTAGCTGAAATATATATGTACATATGTATATGTGTGTGTATATATATATATATGTGCATATATATATATAATATATCACTTGAAAGTTTTCAAAGTGTCTCGTATATATGATCTCATTTGATTTTGACAATATCCTGTGAAGTTAAGCGCTACATTTATTAGTATTCCCATGAAACAGATGAAAAAGATGAGACTACCAGAAGTTAAGTGGTTGAAGACACTGAAGAAAAACTTATCATGCTCATCATTTTGCCTCAAGGCTTAGCCTTTCTTCATTTGTAGACAGAAAGAAGCCATGAACAAAGATACTTCATGTTTTCTGTAGTTATATACACATTAGTGAGAACTATGACCTGTAATCCTTTGGTCTTTTTCAAGCTTCAATTAGTATCTGTGAGCCTGTTAGTCACCTAAACCCAGGAATCAATATTAAACAGGAAGGAGAAGACAGCTTTTCCTGTACGGTAACTCTTGCTGGTTTTCTGATCTCCTGAATTTTGGCTATCTTGGTCCTAGCCACTTTTGGCTAGCCTTATCTTATTGCTACCCACATCCCAGAATGATGATTGAAAGAGAAACTTTAAGTCCACAAAGCCAGTTAGAAAGCCATTAAAGATATTTAGGAAGGAGATGATGAGGGAAGGAAGAGGAAGAAAAAAAAACAAAATTGGGAAATAAATAAAAAAAGCCTCTGTTTTCATGTCTTGGTGAGTAGGTGAATAGTATCACCTAGAGAGACAGGAAGTTGTGTGTGGGATGGGGCAGGTGATTTAGAGAGCATGAGATGATGAAATGTCATTGAAATAGACATGATATGTAGGTTGTTAGAAATACAGAACTGAGCCTCATTATCACAGAATTTTATCACTTGAAGGCATCTCATAGTCCAACCTATCCCTGAACAGGCATCTTTCTACAACATATAAAGTACTCACACAGTCTTTGATTGAAGATCTCTCCTCAGGAGCTGGAATTTACTGCTTTCCCAGACAAGTCAAGTCAATCAAGTGAAAAAATTATTTAAGTGCTTATTGTGTACCAGGCACCATAATAAGTGGTATGAATAAATGAAAAGTAAAGCAGACCAAATCAGTCCCTGCTCTCAAAGACCTCACAGTCTATTGTTGGGGCAACATGTAAAAAACTATGTACAAATATGATATATGTAGGAATTGGAGTAGTTCATTCCACTTTAATTTTTTTCAAAATGTGTTATTTATTCTTAACATTGATGAATTTAATGAATATAAAATATTTTTAAAAAATTTTATTTCCTTGAGAATAGTAAGAGAAATGTGGAATCAATTAATTAATTAAATTGTTGATTCATTTTTTTTTTCTGCTGAAAATATTTATAACTGCCATTAGGTGTTCAGCATATACAACAATGTTTTGTACATCCTCATGGTAGGTCCAGTAGAAACACAATAATAGACTCAGTAACCTTGAGCAGGAGTTCACTTACTAGATTTTCAAAAGACTGACTTTTAACTTTGATCCAATGACCATTTCTATTAGAAATGTTTGGGCATTTTTGGAAGATGGAGGAAGGTGTAATTATCTCTTTCTTCTAGGTTCTGCGAATGATAGATGTTACATTTAGCACTATATAATGGGAAGAACTTTCAGTTTTCAATGCTTAGGATTCTCTTACACAGCTGTCTTCTGTCATTCCACTTTTTAGACATCTCTAATTGTTAAGAACTTTGCCTGATGTCAAGTCTAAATCTTCTACAACTTCCACACATTGCTTCATTAAACTCATTCAACCCTCTGGGGCCAAGCAAAACAAATCAAATCACTCAGCTATATGTAAAAGACCTAGGATAATGAAATGCTAATAAAGGAAATAGTTTCAATAAAGAGTACACATTGTCAAATGTAGCAGAGTAAGGAGTTTTAGGGCAAACAAAGTCATTAGATTCCTTTTAGCGACCTTTGAAAAAGAAGTATTTTATTAGAATAGTAGAAATAGAATCCAAATTTAGGGGATTAAGAGAGAAGGAAGGAGTCAAGAGTAAATGGAGGCAAATGATACTATTTATCTGAGAAATTTGGCAATGAAAGGGCCATATTCAATAATACTGACTTCTTTGCTATTCCTTTAACAAGGTACTCCATCTCTCAATTACAGGTATTTTCATCAACTGTCCAGTATGCCTGGAATTCTCTCCCTCCTCCTTTCCCTCTCCTGGCTTTCCTGACTTCTTTCAAGACTCAGCTAAAATCCCATGATCAACCAGAAGTTTTTTTTTTTGGGGGGGTGCCATTCTTTGCTTGCCCAGGACTTGGTATAGGGCCTGCCACACGTGGGAGGTTAATAGATTTTTGTTGACTGACTGGAATTCTCCTCCAGAAGCAACAGCAATAGGCAAAAATTATCTCAAGGTAGTTTATGTAAATATCTGAAATATGACTAGGACTTGGAAAGATTGAAGAAATTGGAGAGGGAGCAGGTAAATATGGAACAAAGATATAGGTTTGAAGGAATCCATCTTAAAGAGGAGGGGGTATACCTCTGACTAAGTCTAGAGGGAAAAGATAAAAAAGATAGAGAGCCAGATGTACTGGGATATTAAGGTTGATATCAAGAAAAAAAGATTGGACCTCATGCTGGATCTTCTCAGTGAAGTATTAGAATCACCTGTTGGAAGCAAGAGTAAACATGGGGAGGAACTTAGGGTTTGAAGTGAGAGGTCAGGAGCAGCTACTGATATAAGCTGCATGGAAGCAAGGGTGCTGCTTTGAGAGTGACTGCAGGAATTTGTAGCCATTGACTCAAATCTTCTTGATTTTATCGATTTTTCCAGTCATGTTTTACAGCCTTAGGACAGAAGAAAGAAAACAAATTGCAGGAGTGTTCCACAAGAGGGGACTCCCACAGTGTGAGGTCAAGAGGAATTAAGGATCCAGGGCAGTACTGAATTAGGTTGGTATTAATTTCACATTCTGTATTTTAACAGGTTCCCTCATAAATCAAGTATGAATGAATGTTGCCTTGCACAAATTATCCATATGACATATTACCTTCAGGGAGTTAGAAGTATGAGTCAGAATTCCTAAAGGCCATGTAGAATCAAATCTAAAGTCATAGACAATTGATTTTTAATACCGTAAGTGGGGGAAAAGGTGCCATTATATCTTCCTAAATTCCCAGATACATCTTTGATGAATCAATCTGAGCAAAGAGCTGGAAACTGATTTCCGAAAGCTGAATGTGTTGATTTTCCCCCCACTTTACCTTCAATAAATGATACATGTGAAATATTTCCTTTGGGTTTCACAGTAAATTGACAAAATAATGATTTTGCACTTGCTTCTTTTCTTAATGTCTAATGGCAGTAAAATAACTTCTGGATTATTTCAAATGCATTGAAAACATAAATAGCAATAGTTTGCCAGCTGCAAAATTGATGCCGAAGGTGTTTAAATGGCACGTAGAATGCTGAATGCCCGTAATCACAAGAAGACCAGTTCTGCTACTTTTAAGAAAACATGAGCTCTCATTTTAGGATAAATAGAGCTGAAGTTACATCTCTACTTTAGCAGAGTAGAATATATGGACTTTGAATATATGTGTGACTTTATTTATTACTCTATGTATTATGTAAGCAGTCCAACACTTGCTCTATTCCAACTTAAAAAAGTTAAGGGTCATGTACTTGTAGTTTGCAACCTGTGCACTAGATGGTAGTCTTGCATTCTTGCTCGCTTTGAAGACCCTCCCTCTCTCTTCCCCTCAAACCCTTTCTGGTGAATGTACTTGTAGGAAATTTGGGAATATTAGCTCTGTGTCTCCCCATTGCCCTCACCTTAGAAGGAACTAATTGGTGTCTTCCTTTATATCAAACTCTCTGGTGAAACGTACAGATGTAGTGAAAAGAGCTCTGGATTTGAAGTAAGAACACCTAGGTTTAAATACTCATTCTACCAATTAACACCTGTGTAACCTTGAACATTTCACTTAAGCTCTCTGGGACTTAGTTTCCTCATTTGAAAAAATGAAGGAGTTGGATAAGATTTCTTCTAGCTCTAAATCTATCGTTACTTTTCTGCTTTTTCTTGACCAGTACACCTATATTCCTATGAAAATATATACAGACATACATAATAGCTATCATTTATATAGCACTTTTAAGCAAAGTCCTTATAAATATTGTCTCACTTGATCCTCACAATAACCTTGGGAGATAGGTGCTATTATTCCTATTTACAGATGAGGAAACTGAGGCAGAAAAAGGTTAAATGTTTTGCTCAGCTTCAAATAGCTAGTGTCCAAATCTGAATTTGAACTTAAGATGTCTTGCCTCCAAGTCCAGTGCTTTATCCATTTTGTTAAACAAAAAAGTATGATTTTCTCTACAGTCCACCTGCCTTCCTCACAAAATGATGTAGGCAAAGAAGAATAGGATTTTCAGACTGTTGGAGAAGTAGTATGAAGCCAAGTGAAGTGCCAATGAATGATGTAGCAACAATGATGTAGTCAATTGAATTTCACTAGAAATACACATAGATTTAGAAGAGCTTTGCAAATGACTACCTACTCACTTCATATGATGCAAAGTTGTTTATGCAAAGTGAACAGTAGAATATGGAGAACTCCAGTATAAAATAAATACTACTAATTTTATCTACCAAATAATTTATTTATTAAATTATCTATCTATTTATTTAACTTATGGTCCTGGTATAATTTTTTTAAAGTTATTTATTGAAGCCCAGCCAAGCAGTGCTGTTACAGTTAACATTTTTGAGATGCATACATATACAGTTCATCCCAACTGTAAATATGTTTAGGTAAAATGAATTCCTTTGCTTGGTTAATTCAGCATTGTAGTCAGTCTCATAATCTAGCAAATTAGATATCTGGGGGACCATTGTACCCATCTCTGACTAAGCTCAGAAAAGTGCTATGCATTTATGTTCCCTAATATTAATAGCATTTATCAATTTCCGATTGTTATGAAATTTCCAGTTATGATACCCACTTTAATAGGAAACTTCAGACAATTATTGGTCAAGCCATAAATATAATTTTAAATGTTACAGTGTAATTATTAATAATTATTTAAATGTTTAAATATTCACCAGCCATTTGATAATTAATTTTAACCACTTGTTAGCACCCACAACAGGGTATTTATAGGAAATACACATAATTAATAGTCTCAGCAATTTAAAGATTCCAGTAGGAATGGGTCAAGTTTTGGTCATTCACTATTGCGAATTTTGACAGAGACATCTGGGAGGAAATAAACACACAAGTAGCATCTCATTTTACATTGCAGCAACGAACTGTTCTTACATATAGTAGGTACTTAAAATACAAGTTGGATGAACTCATTTATTTTTTCAGCAACTATTAATTATGCTTATGTTGTATTCAATATACTTTATTAAGCATTGGAGAGATATAACAATGAATAGGAAAAGATATCTTTTCTGAAGGACATTACAATTTAGTAATATGAATTGAGTTGAAAGCAATGTGCTCAGTTGAGTAGGAAATCAATGTGTGAGATGGGCTTCTCTTCTGGTTATTTCTTTTTGCCTGAAGTTGTCTAGCCACTTCAAGCAATCACTGAGCTGCCATTATAGGTATATTTCTCTCAGTTATAGTAGCTCTGGTCCCCCAATTTCTATTAAGTTATACAGAGACCTATAGTTTTGAGTTGAATTGAGCAGTGTTAGGAAAAGAAAAAGCAAAGGCGCAACTTTATGGAACCCTCTGGTTCTTCTTTACTTTTTGACCATTCCTGAGTCATAGCCCCAAACATTTGTGAAAGACACCAAGGATCAAATAAGATAATGCATATCAACTCCTTTGCAATTCCTAAAGCACCATATACATTTGAGAGATGATGATGATGATGTTGACAAAAGATGGGGACCAGAGTAATTATGTACAGGACATATTAGCAGGCAAGAACCTTGATAATAGAGATGGTTTTGTTCTTTGTATTTGCATTCCCAAGCCTTAGCACATGACAGGCATTTAATAAATGCTTGTTGACCTATATGTTAATTGATTGGCTTTTGATTGGTTGATTAATTAATTGATTGTAAGGGAGGAGGGATGACAACCTTCCCCTTTCTATTCCCATTATACATTTCCTTTCCCAGCTGGTCATCAAAGGCAAGAGACAACATCAAACTTGAATGGTAGTATCTTGACAGGCTTGATTTGAATTCACAAATAAATAGTAGCTCATTTGCATATCACATAGTTTACAAAGTTCATTCCTCACAACAATCATGCAAGGTGAAAATATTATCTCCATTTTACAGTTTAAAATATGTGGGGTTATCAAGATTAGATGACTTTCACATAGCTGGTAATACTAGAATTGGTACTTATACACAGATCTGACTTCAGGTCTGGTGCTCTTACCACCATATTGTACTGACTCTTAAACATAAGCAAAAAATTAAACATTACCATATACTTACCTAATATGACAAGGACACTGATGATGAATGTTTTGAATGGAAATGAAAATGAATTGGAAAATAAATTTGGAATGCAGGCTGGAATATTAAGTGAGTTGGTGTTGTGTCCAGAGACACTGTAAATATGGTGCTCTGAATTGAAATAATGACAAAATTGAACTCTGTGTTTGATTGCTGCAGGTTTTGTTAGACAAGAGACACATAAAAAGATTCATCTTGGATTTATGAAATGGAAAATGAGAAATATCAACGGCGAGCATGATCATTTCAACAGAAATAAGTGGAGAGATGGAAGAATTTGTGTCTAAATGTGACATATGTCAGTGGCATCAAATTTCAAAACCAAAAAGTGACGCTCATCACTTATGAGAACCTAGATTGCCAATGGCAAATTTGGGGAACAGATTTCTTCACCTAGACTAGGAATAAGAATTTAATCAGAGCTAAATATTATATGGAATATCAGAAATGATACCTTTTTTTTTCAATTCAGCAAGTTGTTCTGCAATCAGTATTACAAGAACTAGTTGGGCAAAAGAAGTTGATACTTAGTGAATTACTGTGCACAAAATTAAAGTTACGGATGTATATTTTTTTGTGTGGTAAATAATACGTTTTAACTAAATGGAAGTTTCTTTCAACTACCTATTACAAACCCAAAGTACTCCAAATGTGCAAAAGTAATCCATTAGGCTTAGGAAAAGAAAAGAGGTTTTTTCAAAGGTTGCTGGAATAAACTTTATGAATACATTGTGAAAATCACTACTTCAAGTATAAAATTCATGAAATCAGGGACCAAGCTAAATTAAGCAGGCCAAACTAAAAATCAGTCTTATGAAAGATTTTCCAAAATATTTCTCAGGGGAAATATATGGGTGGCAACTGTTTGTATACAAAATCATTCAGGTGGTTCATGGAAACCAGCTACTGTGAAGTACATAGCTAAAATTCCCAATTCATGCATATATTATTTTTGAAAATTATGGATAGTGTGGCTGGGGGAGGAGGGCAACTTATGCAGAGAAGGTAGAAGGTTATAGAAATCAGAATGCTGTTTTTCAGCTCTTTAATTCTTGGAAGGAAACCAATTCACACTTATTACTTGGTACCTGAGAGTAACAGAAAAACATATTTAACTTGAACCTTCTCTTCTCTCCCAGTAATATTAACTTTCAAGGCAGCTCTGGGAACAAAAACAAAGACCCAGGGAAAGCAGCACAAAATTATTTACCATGACTATCTCTTCTTAAATCACAAGGAATGATAAAGAGATCTTGAAGTGTATGATAGAAGTTGAGTAGCTTACCTCTGTAGTTTTAGGTCATTTGAAATGTCTAAACCAGGGGTGGGGAACCTGAGGCCTTGAGGCCACATGTGACCTTCTAAGTCCTCAAGGGTGGCCCTTTGACTGAATCTAAACTTCACAGAAATGGAGTCAAAATGCCACACTTGATGACCTAGAAGGCCACATGTGGTTTCAAGACTGCAGGTTCCCCACACCTGGTCTAAACTATTCCAATTAGATGGTGGCTGACTTGATTCTTAAAGACTTCTGGGAAAAGAGATTTTCATAATCTTCCATTTATTCTTTAAAAACCTTTTCTATGATGAGAGAGAGACAGAGAGAGACAGAGAGACAGAGAGAGACAGAGACAGAGACAGAGACAGAGAGAGTAAGTCAGTCAGTGTAGCATAGTGGATAGAGAGTTGGCCTTGAAAGCAGGACAACCTGGATTCAAATTTCACCTCTCGCACCTCATCACTGTGTGAGCCAAGGCAAGGAGCTTGACCTCTCTATGTTTTAGGCAAGTCTCTGAGACTCTAAGTCCAATCCAAGCCAATGAACATTTATTAAGCACCTATGACATTTCAAGAATTGTGCTAAATGTTGGGATGTAATTAACAATAATTAAAAAAAAAGACAGTCCTTGTCCTCTAGGTGTTTACAACCTAAAGTAGAAGTTGCAGAGAAGGTCATGATTTATTTTGATAGAAGGAGTTTCCTTACCTCTGCCACTGAAATTAGCGGTCCAGCCGCTATATACAGGTATTTCTAAATTACTTGATAATTGCAAAACACCATGAGTTCACACATGCCAGTCACAATTCCTCTACAACTTAATATGAGGTCTTTATGATTTGCTCTGGCCCATCCTTCCTTAACACATGTGACAATCTCTGTGGTTCAGAATGAACCATGTCACTACCCTACTCAAGAAAATTCAATGGTACCTCCATTGCTTGGAGGAATAGAAAATACAAACTCCTTTGGATATAGACTCCTTTTCAAAATCTGACTCCAGCCTATCTTTCTAGTCTGATTGCAGTTTATTTCCCCAACACACACTCTTGTTTCAGCCATAGTAGCCTACCTGCTGTTCCCCATACACGATGTTTCCCCCTTCCTTTTCTGGATTTCTGCATAGCTGTCCTTTATACCTCTCTCTGTCTCTTCAAGATTCAGTAATAAGAATCCTTTCCTGAATCCTCTAGTTGTTAATAATTTACCCTCAATTCTATTGTATTTTGCATATATATATATATATATATATATATATATATATATATATATATATATATATATATATATATCCATAAGCATGCTCTATTCTCCTGGTAGAATGTTCCTTGGAAGCAAGTAGTCTTTCCCCTTGTTCCCAGTGTCATATCATCTGGTACCTAGTAGGCACTTAGTTAATATTTTTTGATTGATTGAAAAATATTCTTGACCTTGTCTCCAAGCTTCTGGTGATGAACATATAAAAACTTAGGTAATCTGGTCCTTAGACAATAGACATTGACCTATTAAAAACCCTACGTCAATTCAAAGGTCAGCCCTGGAACCACTATGTGTAGAACATCTTTCTGGATCATCCACGTTGTTACTTTTAGTACTCTTCATTTACCCCTTCCTATTTCCCTTTCTTTTATTGTATTTATTTAGCAACTACACCTCATAGATTCCCTCTCCTTGAAATAGCAGCTTCTTTACTACCTTCTACATTGAAGCCTTTTCTGATTCCCTCCAACTGCTAGTACCTTTTTCCCCAAACTGCTTTGTATTTAACTACTTTATTGTCTTTGTGTTTTAATATTCACTTTATATTTTAATGGCATTTGGTGAATGCCTAGATCACCTAAGAGAGAGTTACATACATGAGGGAGACATACCTACTTTTGGAAAATCTTTCTTTGTGGACATATCACATGGTTGAGAGCAGTCTCTTTTCATTAGCTATGTAGCCGTAATTGTCTTAATCTTTAAAACTACCTGCATATTTTCTTTCTAGCAGTGTCCAGGATTAAGAGAATCATTCATTCTTAGTGAGGTATCATGCGATAAGCTGGGCACATAATAGGCCCTTAATTACTAATTCTTGACTGATTGATGAGGGAAGTGTTTGAGGTCCTTTTTCCCTTTCATTTAGGGCTGGTGCTAAGAAATGAGCTTAGGGTGTTGATCTTGTTTTATTTGTCCTTTTATGTCTAGGTTAAAGAAAAGGAGTCTCTGACTCCAAAGCTTAAGTCAGGAGGAACCTGGAGCCCAGAATTCCAAGCTGTGGCCAGACTAGCAGGGAATCCCTGAGAAGACAAAGTCATACATGGAAGCACAGGAAGGCTTTGGACGTGGGACTTGGCAGAACTGACAATATGTAGGAACTGAGCTGAATTGTGAAACTATTTCTTCATCTTCTCTCCAAAGACCAAGGTGGGACAGGGAGGAATAAGCTCCACAATATGAGGGGAACAATTTGTATGCTTGTTTTGGGTATACCTCTTAAAAGCTAGTTGGACTATTAAGTAGTTAAATGTAACTCAGGTGCTTGAACCCTTAAAATTGAGTAAACATAACTGGTAACAGCTTGAGCCACTGACAGATGAGAGACTTAATTCTCTTTTAGACTGCCACAGAACACTGGTGGAGGGGTGAAATGTAACAGACATGGCCTCTAGGCAGTGGAGACCCAAAGTTATTTATCATTGTTATAAAAATGTTCACACACACACACACACACACACACACACACATATGTGTGTGTAGTTTCATTCTTGGTACTTTCATTCCCAGTCCTAACACAGTGCTTGGCACATAGTAATGTTCTTAATAAAAGCTGCTGATTGATTGATACACATTATCTATTTAATTAGTTTGTATATATTTATGTTTATTCACTTTATAGTTATGTGTGTATGTGTGTGTGTACTTGTCTCCCCCATTTAAATTTAAGCTCTTCAATATAAAGGATTGTTCAATTCTTTGTACTTGGTATCTCCATGAAGAGGACAGTGTCTAACATAAACAGGTATACATTGGAGATATTGCAGATTTGGTTCCAGATCACTGTAATAAAGGGAATATTACAATAAAGTGAGTCACCTGAATTTTTTGGTTTCCAGTACATATAAAAATTATGTTTACACTGTGGTATGGTCTATTAAGTATGCAATAGTATTATGTCTAATGAAACAATATACATACCTTAATTAAAATATTTTATAACTAAAAATTGCTAACTACCATCTGAGCCTCCAGCGAGTTGTAATCTTTTTGTTCAGGGAGGGTCTCACCTCAGTGTTGATGGCTGCTGACTGACCAGGGTGGTGGTGTCTGAAGGTTGCAGTGGCTGTGGACATTTCATAAAACAACACAACAATGAAGTTTGCCTCATCAATTGATTCTTCCTTTTACTTGAACACTTAAAGGCCACTGTAGGGTTATGAATTGGCTTAATTTCAATCTTCTTGTGTCGTAGGGAATAGGAAGGCCTGAGGAAAGAGAGAGATGGAGAACATTGTTTGGTAGAGGAGTTAGAACACACATAACATCTATCACTTATGTTTGCCATCTTATATAGATGCAGTTTGCAGTGCCCCAAAATGATTACAATAGTAACATTAAAGATCACTGAGCAAAGATCACTGTAACAGATGTGATAATAATAATGAAAAAGTTTGAAATATTGTGAGGATTACCAAAGTGAGACACAGAGACACTATATGAGCACATGCTGTTAGAAAAATGGTGCTGTAGATTTGCTCACAGGGTTGCCACAAACCTTCACATTGTGAAAAACTCCATATCTGTGAAACACAATAAAGCAAAATACAATAAAATGCCTGTACAAAGTGCTTAATGTTAAGCTACTTTTTGATTGATTTTTTTGGTTGATGCTGCATATACTTGTCCTATTGAAATAGAAGATTTTTGAGTGTGCTAACTGTTTCCTTTTATATTCATAATCACAATACCTAGGACAATCTTTTCCCTCCTGTTCTTTTCTTTTCCTTTCTTTTCCTTTCTTTTCTTTTCTTTTCTTTTCTCTTCTTTTCTTTTCTTTTCTTTTCTTTTCTTTTCTTTCTTTTTTTTTCCAGAGCCCTCAGTTTTATTTACATGCTACCAAAGCACAAAATCCCAGGGGAGGAAAGAAATTGAAGGGAATAAAGCAATCAGGGAGGAAACTAGGAAGGGAATGAAGATGGAGCAGGGTAGAATAGAAAGAAAGGTACAAAAGAGACAGGGCTCTCCTCCTCCCCACTTCTTTAAAATCCCCAGTATCAGCATATCCAAGGCCCCAATTGGCTGCTTCATCTATGAGGTGGGGCAGGTCAGAGATGGGTTCTGAGGGTAGCAGAGACAGAACAGCTCAAGACTTAGATTTGGCCACAGCAAGTCCAATTAGCCCAGTGAGCCTAACCATACCCACAACCATGGTCCCCATGATGGTCATACCTACCAGCCCATCTTTCTTCATAGTCTTATCAATAAGGCTTTCTAGCTCCTTTGCCTGGTTGTTTTGAGGTTCAGGCTGCAGTAACCTTCTCACATACTTCAGAGCCTTCTTATATTCCTTGAGGTAGTAGTTCTCCACAGCCAAGGAGAAAACATCATCTCCTCACTCCTCTTTGCTTCCTTTAGGCAGCAGTTCCTCCAGGAGTCCGATGCCCTTTAAGATATCATCATTGTATTTGCTTTGCACCAAACACCAGGCATACTCAAACTGAGTGTTATGTGACAAGGAGCCCACTGCCTGCTCTGTCTGGGACTTTTTGAATTTCAATGGCCATCAGCTTGCTCATCATGCCTCCATGGCCACCAACTATCCTGCATACTTCTCAATCCCAAGTCAACAGAACCTTGGTCATCTCTAATGCTTCTTGAGAAGGACCTCCCCTTTTTCTTAATAAATGCTTTTGAATTGAATTAAATTGGCATACTACTAGGTCTATACTCAAAGCTTTTCTATCTTGATATGGAGTTTGTAGTCTATTGGCAGAGCCTTAGACATCCCAGGATTTTTTCTATTGTATGATGACTTCAATGGAGAATCTTTGCATAATCTTCCATATATCTAACCTAAATGCCTCCCTTCATTAATCTGGCCTATTTGCTTCTACTCTATATGCAGAGTAATAATGGCTTGGCCCTTTGAATTGAACACTAGGTGTGAGGTGAAAAGAATAAAAACATGCTCATGAAAGGGAATTGTCATTACTTTTGCTTTTAATTCTGTAAATATTCTAAGAAAATATCCAGAACACACATACTTCCCACCTCAGTGGCCCACTGCACTGTTCCACACATCTCAAGAACAGAAAAAAGGAGGAGATGGGATGATGGCAGAGCCAGAAGACAAGCCCTACGAGGCCAAGTATGGAAAGAGTCGCATGCCTCATGTAAGAAATGAAGGGAAAACTTTGGCAAGGACTCACTCCACTTGGCCATCATGGTACAGTCACCCATGTTTGATGGGAAGGTCCCAAACTGGCATTACTATGCTTGCTTCTAGAAGCATAGGTTCATCATTTCTCAGGCTGAGCTTGAAGTAGATGGGTTCTTGGAACTGTGATGGGATGACTAGCAAAAAATTAAGAAGACCAGTGAGGCCAGAGGGTTGACAGAAGGCAAAGGAGGGAGTCAGAAGGAGGTGGCAAGGGAGAGAAAACCCTAATCAATTTTGCAGTCAAGTGCACTAAACCCAATAGGAGCACTTGTAAGGGATGTCAGCAAAAATAGAAAAGGATCAGGTATGGTTGTCCAAGAAAATTATTGATCCAGAGAAGCTACAGTGGGGACAGCTTCCTTAAATGCCAAGATGAACTGGGATTCCTGCCTTAGCACTAGCCAGCTCAAAGAATTCAGTATCCTGCAGCCAGAGGACAAGCAGACCCTCAGAAACAGCTCCCACCAGTCAAGATGGAAAGGAAGAGGAAAGGAGATAAGGTAGATGGAGATGATTTAGCCAAGAAGAAGGCTAAGAAGGAAAAGGACAAAGAAACAAAGGAGGAGAAGCCCTTCAACTCACAGACAGAGCTCATCTGCAGTATCAAAGATGAACCAAAGAAAGTCTTCTCTACAAATGGCCTAAAAGAGCTGCTGATAGCCAACAAGCAGGAAGTGCCTTTTGAGGATGCAGAGATATTGGACAGAGTAGCTGATGGGATGGCTTTTGGAGCTCTTTTTCCCTGTGAGGAGTGCAGGGGACAGATTGCCTTCAAGAGTGATGCACTGGAGACATTACCGCCTGGAACAAGTGCATTGCCAAGATACGGACTTCCAACAGGAAGGAATGGATCATCCCTGAAGAGTATGGGGAAATCTCTTACCTCAAAAGATTTAAGTGCGAAAAGCAGAACCGAGTATTCTGCCCAGTAACTAATGTCCCAGCTTCAAAACCACTACTCTCATTAGTGGCACTCCTTCCACTGTGAACTCCTCAATCCCACCAGACAAGCCATTGTTCAGCATAAAGACTCTGACTTGGGGAAGCTCTCCTGAAGCAAGGATGAAATGAAAGCTACAATAGAAAAAGTTGGTGGGGAGGGGAAATTGACAGGGATAGCTAAACAGAGCTTCTCTCTGCATCAGTACAGAAAGGAGGTTGAGAAGATGAATTAGAAGATGGAAGAGGTCAAAGAAGCCAATGTGCCTGCAGTGTCAAAGGATTTCCTCCAAGATGTCTCTGCTTCTGGCAGGAGCCTGCAGGAGCTGTTTTCTCTGTACGCCTTGTCCTCCTGGGGTGCTGAAGTGAAGCAAGAAGCTGTTGAAATGAAGCCAGGAGGGAAGTCAGCCAGATGTCCCTTTTTCCAAGAAAAGCAAGGGTCAAGTCAAGGAGGAGGAAGGGACCAACAAATCAGAAAAAAATGAAATTAACACTAAAAGGTGGAGCAGCAATCTATCCTGATTCTAGGCTCAAGGACTCAGCTCATATACTTCCAAAAAATGGAAAAATCTTCAGCACTACCCTTGGCCTTGTGGACATTATTAAAAGGGCTAATGCATATTGTAGACTGCAGCTCCTGGAGAATGATTGAATCAGGTACTGGATATTTACATCTTGGGCCCCAGGGGGCACTGTGATTGGCAGCAGTAAACTAGAACAGATGGCATCCAGGGAAGATGCCACTGATCATTTTTTGAAGTTATATGAGGAGACAAAGGGCAACTGCTGGCATTCCAGAAACTTTACTAAGTATCTCAAAAAGTTCTATCCCGTGGAGATTGACTATGGGCAGGATGAAAAGGCCATGAAGAAGCTCACTGTCAGTTCTGGCACCAAGTTGAAACTCCCCAAACCAGTTTAGAACCTCATCAAGATGATCTCTGATGTGGAGAGCATGAAAAAGGTCATGGTGGAATGCAAGATTGCCCATCAAAAGATGCCAATGAGAAAGCTGAACAAGAAGCACATCCAGAATGCACATTCAATCCTCATTGAGGTCCAGCAGGTGGCGTCCCAGGGTGACAGAGACTCTCAGATTCTGGGCCTCTCCAATTGCTTCTATACTCTGATCCCCCATGACTTTGGAATGAAAAAGCTCCACTCTTGAACAACACTGATTGTATGCAGGCCAAAGCAGAGATGCTGGACAATCTACTGGATATTGGGGTGGCCTATTATCTACCCTGTGGTGAATCTGAAGATGTCAGCAATGATCTCATTGATGTCTGCTATGAGAAGCTTAAAACTGATATTAAGGTGATTGACCAGAATTCAGAAGAAGCTGACATCTTCAGGCAATATGTTAAGAACACACACGCTACTACTCACAATACTTATAAATTTGTAAATTATGGATATCTTCAAGATTAAGCATGAAGGGGAAAGCTGACACTACAAGCCTTTAA